CAGTTTGGGAAGGCAGAGCGGCTAAAGTATCCTCTCCACCTGGGCCTCCAGCCTTCTTGTCCCAGAAGGCTCCTCCCCACCTGTCCCATCACCTCTACAGAGTTCCCCTCTGCTCCTTAGGGCTTCCCCATGGACCAAAGTTACATTTCAAGGAAAATTCCAGTTTTCAGCATGTCTGGGCATGCGGTACTACAACCTTCTCTCATCACACTGCACGGACCATGAAGTAGAAAAGACAACAACAGGAGTGGGACAAACACTCACATTTAAGCCTGAACTGTCCACGTATTAACTGGGGTTAGCTGGGCCTGGTGGTACACACCTGTAATCCCAGCACTCTGGGTGGCCGAAGCAGGAGGATTGCAAATTCAAGCCCTGCCAGGGCCATTGGGAGAGATGCTGTCTCAAAATCTTAAAAGAAGCTGAGTATGTAGCTTAGGGTAAAGACCCTGGGTTCAGTAGCAAGAAAAAGTTAACTGGTTTTAAAATCATATGTCAAAAGTTGGGGGAGGGCCGCAGAGATGGCTCAGTGGAATAAGCGCTTCCCTGGCAAGTGCAAGGGCCTGAGTTCAATCCCTGGTTCCACCAAAAAGTTGGGGGGAGGGATTTTAAGCAAAAATACAGGACAGGAATGGCTCCCCCACCCCGGCCACCCGCTTTGGGACAGGGTCCCGCTATGCGGTTCAGGCTGGCCTCAACCTCACCACGACCCTCCTGCCTCAGCCTCCCGAGGGCTGAGATTACAGACGTGCCGATCGCGCCCAGTACGGGGCTCACTTTTGCACACAGCAGTCGGGACAAACTGATGGCCTGGTGAAGTGGGAGGCAGGTGTTAGGGAGTGGGAGTGCTGCGATCCTTGTCTGTCTTTCTGGCGGAGGGGGAATCCGTTCACTCAATTCACTTAATTCACTGAGCGGCTGTGCAAGGCCCCCTTGAGCCTAGTGCGTAGTGACTACAGTCAGTTTCCCACCAGGGGGATCCCCAAGCGCGGCTCTCTAGCGCCCCTCCCTGCCCCCCAAGTCGCTGCGGCTGCAGACAGCGCGCAAGCACGCACGCAGCGCCGCGCACGGTAACTTCGGAAGGTTTTCTCTTATCCTGAGCAAAATCAAAGCGGCTGCAGTACCGCTGTTATGAATTTACAGGGCAGCTCTCAGGCCCCAGAGTTACTTTTAGTCCTTCTTAGCCCGTGTTTTGGGGCATTTCCACTTAGGCTGCTTTAAACTAAGCATCAGACTAAGACGGGCGATGAGTGGCACGGTCACCAACAGGGACACTTACCACATGGCCGAGCAGTCAAAATTCACCAGAAGCCATTTGTGTGGATTAAAGTTAAACGAATCTGCAAACTGAACAATACAAGGGAAATGCGTAAACCGTCAAGATTCAGGTATAGGACTAGACCCCAGACGTGATCACTAGGGCTGGTGCTCCCAAACGACAGGCTGGGCAGGGCGCCCCAGAGGCCCATAAACCCCGCCTATGCTAAGTGCGGAGGGGCGCTGGAATATTCAGGAGGCTCACAAGCCCTCACAAGCGCTGTCTGCAGAAATTATACCGAGGAGGCCCGAGAAGCGCTTCAGGCCCGCAGCTCCTTCAGCTGCACGAACTAGCAGACGTCACCGGGCTGTGTGTCATTGCAAATAACGAGACAGCGACACTTTCAGATCTAATCTTCAGTATTAAGGGGAAATTCGTTTCTGATTTAACTGATCAGTTCTTTCACAAATCTGCCACTAATAGTACAATTCCTCCTTCCCAGCCTTTTGTAAAATTTTGAGACAGGGTCTCCTTGCTAGGTTGCCTGGGGTTGGGGTCAGATTTGTAATCCTCCTGCCTCAGCCTCCCAGCCTGCTTGGATTCTAGTTATGTACACCATGCCCACGTCTTCCTTTTCTTTTTGTGGTACCAGGGATTGAACTCAGGACTTTGTGTTTGCCAGACAACACTTATTCCACTGAGCTATCTCCCCAGCTCATCTTCCTTTTTTTTTTTTTCTTCCTTATTTTTAAAGGTGATACCAAGTTCACTGATCCTTCCCTGCCATGACCGTAGGTGGCAACTGCAGACAGCTGTCTCCAGACCCATGTGCAGGAGTCGCAAGGAGAAAGTGGCCTCAGCACCCAGCGCTAACCAAAGGGCAGTTCTGCTGTCCTGAGCGTGCCCTGCGCTTTCCTCAGACAGGTGGCAGGGACGGCGTTCCCCTTCGAATGCTTTGTGTCCCCTGTGACTGGCTGGTGTTGAGGGTGCACCCAAGCCAGGGCCCCGCCTGGAGACCAGCAAGGACCCCGAGGACCCTCCGCCACCCTGGAGGTGCCCATTCATTTCCTCTCGGGATTCAAAACATCTGATTTTAAGAAAGAGGCAGGAAATTGCAGCCAGGTTTCATTTGTTGATAAAAGGAAGCAGAAGGTTAAAGGAGGAGCTTTGTTTGCTCGGGATTTTATGAGCTTCCTCAGCGGGGGCTGCTCTGTTTAAACTCCTTTCATTACCCAAGAGCGATATTTCCCTCCTGATGGAGGAGAAAGCTTCTTATCTGGAGGGAGAGGCTGAGACAGGATATTGCAGCCTGCTTATCTGACCCACTGAGCAGCTGAGCCCTGGCGAGCCTGGGAGGCACTAAGGGACCAGGAGGGAGGAGGCTGGGGTCAGTCCTCCCAGGGCAGGAGCGCTGTCTGGCACCGACAGGACCTGCATACAGCTGCTGTGGGCCTGTTCTGGGTGCCAGGCAAGGGCAGGAAGGATCCAGACGCCCTAAACCCAGTATCTGGGTCACACTGCAGCCCCAGCCCCGCCCTGCCCTTCAGTCCCAGATGAACCTGGAGCCCTCTTCCCTCAGCCCTGTCCAGGGGTAACCACAGAAAAGTCATTTAGAGCTGGAAGGTGATTGTAAACGATATTTTAAAATTCATCAGTGCATGGCGCAGGTGTGGAGACACACACCCGTCATCCCAGCACTCTGGAGGCTGAGGCAGGAGGAGCAAAACTCCCAGCTCAGCCTGGGCAACTTGGCAACTTGGCAAGACCTGTCTGGGAAGGAAACTGCCGGTGGCCTTGCTGCCCTGCTGCCCATTCGCAGTTTCCCTGCGTGGGCGCTGCTGTCTGGGATGGGTTAAACACTGCTGTGTCAGGCAGCGGAAGAGGACAGCAGAGTGAGCCAGGCCGTGAGACTCAGAGGTTGCGTTTCCGTTACCCTTGGCACGAGATGCGGGGAAACTTCCTTCTGTCCCCAAGGATCTCCCGTGGCTTTTGAAGCTAAAGTCCAGGGCACCACGTGCACACCTCTCCCTGGATCTGTGCAGACCAGACAGGGCGGCAGCTGTCGCCCTTAGGAGTGCTGCTGGTGATAGGGCGAGGGACAGGGAAGCACGTAGCGGTCTGCAGAGGAAGTGTCACTGTGAAGAATTTCTAGGAGTGGCTGGAAATGGAGCATCAGATTCTCACAAAAGAAGTCGTTGCTAACTTAGTGCTTGCGCGCCTGCAATCCTAGTGCTCTAGGAGGCTGGGCCAGGAGGGCTCTAAGTTGGTCCCAGCCTGGGCAAATTAGCAACTTAAAGAGAACCTGTCTCAAAATGCAGAATAAAAAAGGCGAGGGATGTAGCTCAGTGCAAAGGTCCTGTGTTCGAGCCCCAGTACCACAAAGAAGAGAAAGCAAATGACATTGGGTGTGCACGGAGGCCGGGTCCACCGCAGCACAGCAAGCGTGTGAGGTTCTGCTCACTGTGCACTGCGCAGCACCCACCTCCACTCCATCCAGAAGGTGCCGGAACTCAGGGCAGATGAAGGCGCTGCCCGCATACGCCGCATCGATGTGCAGCCACATGTTTTCCTCGTTGCCTGCAAACAGAAGCGCCAGTGAGTTCCCATCTCAGGGTCCCCGTTCTGCACAGCCAGACCCAGGCCCAGACACCATGGTGGAGGTGAGCAGAGCCCCTGAGCAGCACCTCGGCCCCCGTCCCCTCCCCCACAGCCCTGCCGGGCCCCTCTGCACCCCCGCAGAAAGGACCAGATTCTCCTCAGCTCGGACCCCTGCTGTGTGACCCGGTCCTCTGCTCAGCTGCATGCCTTCCACAGGCAAAGAGGAGGGAACAGTAGTGCCCACCTTGCAGTGACGCGGCAGGACCCTGTCCCAACCACCCGCCGCCCTGCTCCAGGGCTGGGAAATCGATGTGAGTCCCACAGCCAGGTTCCCTCAGCCGGGCGACACCCAGCAGGAGCTCGAGGGGGACAAGGACAGGGTAGCAGGTTGATGCCTGCCCCACGCAGTCAGGTATCATAAGCATCTGCGAACTGCCATCGTTGGCCACCTTCATCACTCCTAGCTCCGCCCACAAGGCCATTTCCAAGCCGGGCGGGTTCTGCCTTCAGGGCTAAGGCCCTCGGGTAGGTCAAGAAAAGAGGGGCGCCAGGACGTGGGCAGCGCTCCAGCAGCTCAGCCACCCGCCTGTCACCCTCCCACCGCCAGCCGCGCCTATGCCGCACAATCTCTGCGGCCATGCCAGAGACAGAGGCCGTTGCTGCTGAGATCCAAGAGGCGCTGAGGCCTCCAGTGTCCAGGGTCAGGGGGCTGGGAAGGAGATGGGGCTGTGCCAGTTGGTGCAGTTCAGAGTGTGCGCAGGCAGGAGCTCTGGTCAGAAGAGCCAGGGCAGGTAGGGACTGGTGGGGAGGGGGACAGGGCGGGGTCGGATCCTTGCACAGCTTTCCCCTGGCTTTCTCCATGTCTTGTCTGCAGTGCAGTGAGCAGCTCCCCTGCCTGCCCGTCCGCCTGGTGCCCGCTGACCAACAGTCTTCTGGACACAATGGAGCAGAACAAACCTCCTTCAGGCTGTGGGTGCTGGGCGTTTTGTCCCAGCGACAAGCAAGCAATGAAGACAGAAGAAGCAGGGTTTCTGGCCCAGGAGTCGCCAGGTGATGATGGCGCTGTGGCTGTGACTCGGCTGTGCTGGGAGGTCCACAGAGCTTCGTGCCCTTTACAGGATGGCGCAGCCTGCTGTGGTTTGAAGGCCTGTGGTCCACAGAGATGTGTCCAAGCCCTCACCCTGGTCCACAGTGTCAGGAGGCGGAGGCTCTGGGAAGTGGTTAGTATCACTGCAGACACCATGACAGGGCCAGCACACTCCTCACCCTCATGATCATCCCCATACTGTGGAGGCTGAGGCAGGACAATCTCAAGTTCAAGCCCATCTGGGACAACTTTGTGGCTTGAGAAGACCCTGAATCCCTCACATTTGGCAGTTCTCCTGCCCCGGCCTCCCAGAGTGCTTGCTGGACTCCCGGTGCACCACGACGCTCAGCCAGCAGGTTCTTCAGAGCGCAGCAAGATGGGGTCTGCTCGGCCCTCAGAGCGCTGCCTGGCTGAGGATGCACAGTGCTTGGGCACAGGCATAATCAAGGCCTCGGACCAAGGACGTGGGTCAAACGGCACCGACTGCTTTGCAGGTCAGTGAGCCGTCCTGAGTGCAGCTGCCGACTGTGCGTGCAAGGGCTCTGGTGCTGAAGCGTGCCTGGGCCTAGAGTGAACAGCTCGGGTCCTCTGAGGTCCCAGTGGTGGACGGTGCAGGTCACCCAGGGCTCTGTGCTCGGTAGGCACCACCTCCTGGCAGCGCCGAAGTCTCAGCCCTCTGATTCGGAGAGTGGCCAGCCGTTGCATCAGCCCCGCCGGCCAGGACGTTCAGTTCCCAGAGTCTGAGTCAGGGACCTGGAGCAGCAGGGGTGCTGGCGGAGGACCAGAGGGAGGCCCAGCCGACGCCTCCGCGTCCTCCTGTCCCTGTCCCTCCCAACAGCTGCCTGCGAACACGTGCTGGGGATGGGCCCGCCTGGGCCACACACATGCCTGCCGGTGGCGGGCGTCCAGTTCCTCTGTCCACATGAAAGACACCGGGACTGCTGCACAGCCTGGGTGAGGGGCCTGACGCACTGCATGGGGCAGTGTCCCCAGAAGGAACGCTAACATCCAGAGGGACCGAGAGGGGGCTCTGTGGGCAGTGTCCCTTGCTGCCCACAGAGAATGCCCATCGCCCTGTGAGCCCTGGGGCCTGGTGCTAAACACAAAATGGCGTAGCTCTCACGGGCCTTCTGGACGTTGGCGGTCAGAGCGGCCTTTTCCACCCCGAGCCTGGGAGCCTGCCTGAGGCGGGGAGGAGGAGGAGGCTGGTGAGAACTGCACTCAGCTCCATCCCAGGAGCCCGAGTTCAGAGGCAGTGCAGCTGTAGCCGTGAGGCTGTGTCCCTGCAGCTAAGGACGAGTCTGGAAAATCTTCGCCATGTGAAATGAGTGGTGAGGACAACCCAAAGGGGAAGCCTGCTAGATTCCCCAAACACCAAGAGCATTCTCTGGGAAGCAACCAGGTGCCACACTTACAGATAGGACCCACTTCCAGAAGCTTGTCGTAAGAGCAGCAGTTTGTGGTCCCCAGCGTGGCCACCACCTGGAGGGAGAAGGCAGACACCATTTTCATCTCTCCTGGGTGAGTCACAGTGGCAGCAATGACTACACACACTCTGGCCTCCACTCTGCATTCAGTGACCGTCACCATGGAGATGGGGACCCACAGTGCCCACCTGCCACATCCTGGGGTGGAGGCTGCAGGTTAACAGCGGTCAGTGTGCAGACCGGAAGCTGTGCACTGGAGCGGGGGGAGTGGGGAGGGTTTCCCACCCGCCGCGCCTGGGGAGGCAGGAAGCACTGGCAGTCGTGGAGTGCTAGTCCTAAATTCTGTGCCACTGAGTACATCCTCAGACCAGATTGCGGTTCCTGTGGTAAAGCTGGAAGCCCAGGTGTTTCTTCCTGGTTTGGGGGGTGTACGTATGTGTGTGCGTGCATGCATGTGTTTGTGTGTGTGAGTGTGTGGGTGGGTGGGTGTGTGTAGGTGCGCAGAGCGCAGAACCAGCACATCCTGAGCAGTATACACTCTAGCAGGCTCCCGTTGCCCGAGGCATGCATGGAAGGATTCTTGACGGTTACTCTGAAGACTTCTTAGACATCAAACCTTCTTTGAACTTTTGGGGTCAGATAAGAACTACACCAGGGAGCTAAGCAGGAGGGTCCCGAGTTCAAGTCTAGCCTGGGCAACTTAGTCTCTTATCAAGATACTTTTTCAAAACAAAAAGTTAAGGCACTAGGGATGGAGCTCAGGGCAAAGGCTCTGGGTTCAACACTCAGTCACACACACACACACACACACACACACACACCCCAAAATAAGACAAAAACCCAGAAACAAAAACAAAAGTGAAAACAGCAAGCAGCCGCTCCAGGATGCTGGTTGTACCTCCTTCCTGGCTTGGTTGATTGGTCTACTCTTCAAGTGATTGAAACGATATTCTGGGCTAGGTGCTGGACGTGACAGTGTGACCTATAATCCCAGCACTCTGGGAGGCCAAGGTGGGGGATCCCAAGTTCACCTGCAGCCAGGACAACTTCGGGATTCAGTGAGATTCTGTCTCAGAATTTAAAAAAAAAAAGTGAAAGGGGCTGGGGATGTAGCTCAGTGTGAAGGCCCTGGGTTCAATCGCCAGTACAAAAGATGTGTTTTTAAGAACAGACTCTAACTGGCTTATAGGTGTCACCTTCTGTTGGGATAGTGGCATTTCTCCCCAGCTAGGTTGAGAGTGTGAAATTCAACTCAATTTGTACCGCCTGTGCTGGATTTGTGTTGGTGTCTTAGCCACATAGCAGCCCTGAGGACATTCCCGCTGGACCCCAGCCCCAGGAGGAGGCCTTTGATGCGGCTTCACTAGCCAATGACCTCAGAAAGCGCTGGGTTTATCTGTAATGATCATGGGCTAGTTCTGCAGAAACAGCAAAATTCTGCTTTGTTCTAGAGAGTAGCTCTCTGAAGAACAGCAATGGCCTTTCTTTGTTTCTTTTTTTTTTTCTTTCTTTCTTTCTGAATGACAATTTTAATCTGTAGTAAATTTCTTTCTTTCTCTCTCTCTCTCTTTCTTTCTTTCTCTTCTTTTCTTTCTAATACCAACCGCAAAAGTAAAGCAAAACACATCTGTCTTTCTCTTTTATCTCCTTGTCCTCCTCCTTCTCCTCCTCCTCCTCCTCCTCTTCCTCCTCCTCCTCCTCCTCCTCCTCCTCAGTTACAGTACTGGGAATTGAACTTACAGTTTTAGCACCAAACTATAGCCCAGTCCTTTTTCATTCTGAGACAAGGTCTCACTAAATTGCTTAAGCTACCCAGTTGGGCTCCCCCTCGGGATCTTCCTGCCTTGGCCCCCAGAGTGCAGGCTGATGGCATGCGTTACCTTCCTGGCTGGTCACATTTTCTCAGCGCTGACTCCACAGCAAGGCCTGAGGCTAAGAGCAGCTCCTGACAGAACAACAACCGCTTTAGCTTCCTTCCAGACTTTCTTTCATGCCATGGGTGGGTGACTGTCCGGGATGACACCCGTGGGCAGGAACAGACCCAGAAGGACTGTGGCTGTCCTTAGATCTTCTTAGCTGGCCAGAACTTGACACAGCCCTGGGCCTAGCCCCTACGTTGCCAACTAAAGAGCCCCTCAGGGCATGGTGGTGCACAGCCACAATCCCATCCCATCCCTCTGGGAGGCTGAGGCAGGAGGATCCCAAGTTTGAGTCCAGCCTGGACAGTTCAGGGAGATTCTGTCCCAAATTTTTAAAACAATTTTTATAAACACAGCATGAGGGATGTAGCCAGTGCAAGGGCCCTGCTTTTGAGTCTCAGTGAACCCAATCAGTAAAAACAGCTCCAGTGCTCTGGCCCCAGGTCCTGGCCGGGGAGCAGGGGAGAGGCAGTGGGACCCAGGCAGGCGAGCTGCGTGGTCTTGCAGTGTTTGTCCGCGTGACTCCGAGCAGTCAGCGGCCCTAATGCTCAGAAGCCGCATCATCTTGGGCGTCTGTTTGCCCCAGCTCTGATTACCAGGCTAACCTGATTTCAGCCAGGCTGCCAGCCTTAATGACGTCGTGCCGGGTAGAGGAGGAGGGAGGAGGTGCGAGAGCACCCTGCGAGCCGAGGCCTTCCTGACCACCCCCCCGGCCACCCGCCCCTGAAGGTGGCTGCTCCGCTCCTCTCCCAGGCCTGAGCAGCCTGGATCCCTGGCTGCTGGGTCGTCTCCTAGCAACACGCTCCACTCCTCTCTGCAAACCAATTTTCTTCCTCTTCAACCCCTGAACGCTCTCTAAACAACGTGCAGCCTGGACACCTTTGTCTGTGACACAAGATCCATGCCAGGGGGAAAGGACATGGGCTCTGCATGTGTCCCCTGACCAGCGCCTGGAGTGAGGGGCAGCATACACGTGACAGAACCAGTCGGCGAACGTGTGACCCAAGAATGAGCAGCTAAGGCCCTGCTTTCCACCCGCACCTGTCTGTGGCTTCCCTCAGGAGAAGGTCAGCCCCGCCCTCAGGTGTCTCCTCCAGTTCTGGTCCGAGGACCAACTGTGCGCAGCCAGGCATGCTGCTGCCTGTCTACAATCCAAGTACTTGGAGGCTGAGGCAGGAGGAACACAAGTCCAAGCCCAGCCTGGGCAACTCATGACATAGGGACACCTACTTTTATAAAAAATTAAAAATGAACGAGGGATGTAACTCAGTGTGAAGGCCCTGGTTCAATCCCCAGGGCCTTAAACAATGGGAAAAAAATTTTTTAAACCCCAAAACTTGTATTCACCAGGGACAAAGCACTATGCAGTGAGTACACAGAATGCAAGCATGTGGGCACTGTGTTAGACACTACACACACTCTAAGGATGGCCCCTCTGCAATCTCAGCCAGCACAGGACCCTGAGGGGGCCAAGCAGGTCACTGAAGTTCTCCCTCAGCCCCAGCCGCCTGTCACCTCTGGAGACCTGAAGACCCTGCTGCTGCAGGCCTCTCAACGTAATCCTGTTTCCCATTACCCTTCTCCTCTGCCCCCATCTGACCTCTCCACCTGACCCTGACCTCCCCACCTGACCTCCCCACCTGATGCACATGCCAACCACCCTGAACCACTGCCGAGCACACTCAGGTAATGGCTTTCCCTGGCTCCTCGTTCCTGGAGTCCTTAGACAATACTTCCTGTCCTGCACTCCTGCAGTGACTCTGTCTGAGCCAGCTGCGTGTGCGTGCGTGAGTGCGTGTGTGTGCGCCCAGCCAGGTCTTTAAAGGAGTTTTCTCATCTGTCTTTAGAGAAGAAACCTGAACTCACACATGGGCAGAAATGGCCCTGATTTAAGGACATGTCTAACGGACAATGACTTGGGACACACTTCTCCACAGCCGACAAGAAAAATGTCAACACTGTGAACCATACCCCACCTCACTGCTTAGGGACAAAGAAAAGCAAAGTGTTACCACAGGGTTTTGGGAGGGAAGCCAGCAGCCACGTGGAAGCAGCCACGCTCTGCTCACACAGCCAGCACTCAGGCTGACAGCCGGCAGCTCCGTGGGAGCCACACGCGAAGGAAGTCAGTGGACACAGACGCAGCTGCCACCTTAGAATTTTACGCCTGGCACAACCGTTATCCAAAAGTGAAGCCAAAGAAAGACCTTCTAGGAAATCAAAGACAGGGGCAATTCACAGCATCAGAAAAAGAAATTATAAAGAGAAATTTTTAGACAGAAGAAAATAACGGCAGGGGGAAATGAGAAAATAGAATGACACAAAATATCTGATTAATCCAAGAAAAGGCTTTAAAAAGTTTTAAAAAATGCATAAGAGGCACATGATAAAACAGTAAAATAGTAGATGACACCAATGGTTACCTTATGTGTAAAGGGGCGCATACATAGGCAATAACAGGCACAGTGGGTTTGAAAGTGAATTTTAAAAAGAGCAGCAGTCATGTGCTGATTACACAGGAAAGTCCTCAGGTGTAAGGGAGGGGGAAGCGGAAGCCAGAGGGTGGAGCGATGCCCGGCAAAGGGCAGCGGAACTGGAGGTCGGAGGTGTTGCTGCAGGCAGCCGGGTTAGACAGAAATATAGGCAGTCACGCAGGGCTGGGCCCTCGCAGGAGACAGCACAGAAGACAAGACACCTCACAACTGTGGGAGGAAAGGATGCTCCTGCTGTGAGCCAGACCTAAAGAGCAAAGATCAAACAAATGCCGACCTCCCTAAAGATTAGCATTCGGGATTGATCTTCACCCTGAGAGAGCCAGGAAGAGTCATTAAGCCAACTGCTACCGGATGGCTACCAGATAAGGTCCTGGTCTACATTCACGCCTGCTTGCTATGTGACTCCCTTCCCCATTTGGTCCCAGACATCAATTTTACCTGAGCGATGGTGCGTGTAATCCCATTGGCTGACCATAGGTTTGTCCCACCCCACATCCACCTAAGCGAGTTCCCATTTTCTCCTTCTTAGCCCTGCATGGTTTTGCACTATAAAAGTCCCTGAAAGAGACAGCTTCCCAGGGGTTACCTACTCAGGCACCCCCAGACAGAAGCTTTCTTTCCCCCAATAAATATATTCTGTTCATAACCTCCGTTTGTTCCTAAAATTCGTTCTTCGGCTTTAGAGAACACGAACTCATCCAAGTCAGGTCGGGAGATCATTTTTCCCTGTGTCATTTGGAGGTTCCCTGTACCACTTGGAGGTCACCCACCAAGATCAGTTTTTCTCCCTGTATCAGTGTCACACAGTAGACTTGCCTGAGGCCATCACGAGAGAGAAAGCACCCTCGTGAAGGACAGATGACAGTTCTAAACCCCAGTGAACCTTTCACTGTTCTTCAAAACATATGCAAACTGAGAGCTGCAAGAGAGAGACAGGCCTGCCGTCACAGTGTGAAGTGGGGCAGACCTCACAGTAGGTGGCCCACATTGCTTGGGCTATTAAAACATCAGATTTGGATTTATGTTCTCATTGGGTTTTTTTGTGTGTGATTGTACTTGAAACTGGCTCTTTTCCCGCATATTTGCACATCATAAGTGGGAATTTTCCTCTATGCTTATTGATAAATAAGCTTTCTTTTATTTTAAGATTTGCTTGATAACATACTGGAAGTAGTTCTTTCTAGTGTTTGTCTTTGAATATTACTTATGAGTTTTGTAAAAATTGTTCAGATAAGATCTTACTGTATAATTTAGGCTGGTCTTGAGCTCACTAGGTGGACCAGGCAATCCTCCTGCCTCAGCCTTCCTGTGGCTGGTATTACAGGAATGTAAAATTTCTTTCACTGCTTTCATTCTTCAAATCTAGAGGAGGGTATTGCAATAGATTCAGTTTTTCCTGGATATTTTAGTAACTCTTCATTTTAATTTTTTTTTATTTTTTGCAGATCCGGGGATTGAACTCAGGCCCTTGCGCTTGCCAGGCAAGCGCTCCTCTCGTTGAAACTACAGGTTCAAAAACTGAAAATAGAATTCTTTCAAGTAATACTGAAATTGCACATGGACATTTTAAATGTAATCTTTTCTTCTACCTGGATGACCTCCTTCCAAATTCTTATTTATTTGAGGAACAGCCTCCCGCGGCCCTGGCCACGTGTTCCATATCTATAGCTTCAATCAACCGTGGGTCAAAACTATTGAAAAGTGAGCATCTGCCCAGAATATGCAGACACTCGTGCTCCTTAAGTGCCTTACAGCAACTGTTTGCGCAGCATTATATTGCATTAGGCATCATGAGTAATTTACAGATGAAAGTACGCCTGAAGCGTGTGTGTGTGTGTGCATGTGTGTGTGTGATGTGCACACAAATCCTATCTGTGCTAGTGTGAGCACCAGGGGTCTTACAGAACCTGAGTGTCTTCCGGCTTGGCATCTGGACACCCTGGGACGCCTCTCCCACAAGCCCTGGGGACAGCTGCACTTTCTGAAGCCTGCGGAGAGCCCGCACCATCCCAGGAACTAGCGTGAGCCTTCAGAGCTGCCTCTGATGCCGCACACGGGCAGACCGCTCAGGCCTCACTCCAGCCTCAAGGCTCCTGGCCACATGACTGGGAAGCACAGCATTCTCTGAAAGCTCCAGGGTGACTGATGCCAGCCAGGCTGAGCCCTAGTGTGGGCACAGAGGCAGGGCAGTGCCCACACCCACTTACTGTGTCAGCCTTGGGGGCCGTACTTCCACTCTCCCCTGCCCACTGTCGCCCCCACGGGGCCATCAGGCTGGGTGGCTCTGCCTGTGTGACCCTGTCAGTGCCACGGGGCACATCCTGGGTAGTGGCTGCACCTGCTGTCCACTGCTTGCTTGTTCACTCCCGGGCGTGGCTTGCTACCGAGATCATGGACCACGCCATAGCGGCCGTCACGGCACGGTCATCTGGTGCCCTCCTGGACAACAGGAGAAGCAAGATCGGCAGCTCAGGCGCAGCGGGCTCCTTGGACCTCAGCCTGGTGAGGCAGTGCACGGTCACCCCAGCACCCCAGGAGGCTGAGGCAGAAGGGGCAGGCGCTTGATCGCAGTCTGGGCAATTCTGCAGTCTGGTGAGGCCCCATCTCAACAAACAGCTCTAGGACAATCCCAGGCTGCCTGGCCTGGGATGCACCCATCAGCCCGTGTGGCGGGCATCACACACACACACACACACACACACACACACACACACACTCCCCAAGGTCCCCTCCTGCCTGGCATGAGGCAGTGACTTACAAAGAAGGGAATCAGGCCGGCTGCCTTGTCTCGCTCCAGGGCCTCCCGCAGGGCGGAGCCACGCATGGAGAAGTGGTCGTCGGAAGGGATAGGCTTCAACTTCACACCACCGATAAGCCCGGCCCTTTCCACGGAGGAGTGTGCCTGCGAGGAACAGCGAGACAGGCGGGCACGTGAGTGCTCAGCGGAGACACGGCTTTCCTTATTTCTTTTGTGGTCCTGGGATTGTGCCCGGAACCTCTGCCCTGCACTGCATCCTCTGCCCTCTTGTTCTTAGTCTGAGGCAGCACCTCTCCAAGTCGCTAAGCGGTGCGCAAACTTGGGATCCTCCCGCCTCAGTCTCCCAGAGGGCTGGGATTACAGTCATGCACCACCAGGCCCTGATTTCTTTTGTTTTTGTATTTGTTTTTAAACCTATTGTTGATCTGCGGTTGGTCTAACCCTCAGACATGATCCTATAGATCTGGATACAGCCCTGCAGCAAAATGTGGGGTGGCCCACCCTCCTCAGGGCTGCCTAGAGCAGCCTGCTGCCCAGGAAGCCCCCATCCTGGGCCCTGTGTGTCCCCAGGCTCTGACCTGCCCACTGCAGAGTGGCTTTCCTGGGCCGCTTCAGGCAGAGCCACCCATCAGGCCCCCAGTCCCCAGCCCTTTGGTAAATGCTGGCTGTCTTTATTCAGTGACCCTGCATGACCCTGTCTCCAGTGAGAACATGGAAAACTCCCCCTCTAAAGGACAGTGGTGATGCGTGGTGACAGAGTGTGGCCAGCCCTGCCTTGAAGGCGAGCACGAAGCTACGGCTCCTCCTTCCTCGTTAGGGCAGGAAGTCGTCCGTGAACTCCTGCCACTCAGGAAGCGGCTGCTCCTGTCCCAGGCTGCACGTGTCATCTAAAACTTCTGAGTGTGAGGCGTGACGGGTTGGGAGCCCAGCGAGGACATCGTGTGCTGGCTTCTGGCAGGGCCGAGCCAGCAGGAGGGGTCGCGGAGGCCGGTGGCTGTGGGAGGGGGCACAGCGGCCTGGACAGAGGCCCCAGCACCAATTCCCTGAGAAGGCCACACCAGGGGCCATGTGGGCAGTGGCTGTGGCCCTGGGCCCAGTGCCAGGCTGAACGCTGTGCACGTGAGTGCAGCCTGCTGAGCTGCGCCCTCCTGGAAACGCGTCCTTCCTCCTCCTGCCCTCGCTGCCCCGCTCTCCGGCCAGTCCCTTGTGAGCCCAGCGGCGTCCTCTTGGTATGTGGTGGACACAGACTCGAGGTCATGCCCCATGTCATGCCCTGCTCCTAGGAAACCCAGCAGAGGCCCAGAGAGGACCTCGGCCTCGAACCATCGACAGGCCTGCAGGCCCATGGGGAAGGCCACACCCCAACGTCACAACACCTGCCTCACATGCGCTGGCTGTGTGGCTGTGTTCTCGCTGTGACTGCTTTTCTGCTTCCAGGGAAGTGAGGGAGGCATAAGTATGAGGGATGGCTCTCTCCCTGCACATGGAGCCTCAGTGCGGGGAGTCGCTGAGAGGCCACCCTCCCAGTGAAGCACTGAAGTGCGGGTGCTACGTTTCCCGAGTCTAATTGCCACTGTCCAAATGCCGGGCTTTTGGAACTTGTAGAGGAAAGTGTGCTGGCCAGGCTGAGTCCGTGGCTCCCTGTGGGCCCCAATTTCCTGAGCATGCCTCAGTCTACCCTTTCATGCTCTGGCACCACTGTTTCCTCGTGGGATGACTCTCCTCACACTGGCTGCCCCGGCGCAGATGGGCAGGTGGGGCTGAGCAGCCACAACACAGGCAGCACGCCGGCCCCTGTCTGAGGGTACAAGGACAGGACTCAACTGCACGTGGCTGCCCGAGAGCCAGAGCTTCAGTTAGCCACAGGGGGACCAGCAGGGAGGCCTCAGCCCATGCTCGCTTCCTGCTGGGGGTGGGCTGCAGGGCCCGGGGAAGCCTGCTGAGGCCGGCACCGGGCAGCCTGCGTGCTCTCCTGCATGTCTTCTTTCCCTCTTCCTTGAGCAATCCTGGCTTCCCCGAGGCTCCGCTCTTAGACTGGAGCTGATGCTGAGCTTATGGGGATTCGGATCTCAAAAGTTTGTGGGGCTCTGGCCTAACTCCCGCCCGTACCACCGACCTGGTCAGAGGAGTAGGCCACCAGCTTTTCCATGATGGCAGCCTGCGTCAGCTCCGGGAAGGCGGCCTGCAGCCGTTGGGTCACTTTGGTCCGGGCAGCCAGCAGGGCCACCAGGGTGGCCTCACTGGCACTCCCCTAAATGCAAGAGAAAGGGCCAATGAGAGCCAAAGCACATCGTCATCCTAACCCTCAGGAGGCTGAGGCAGGAGGATCCCTGGGAGTTCAAAGCCAACCTGAAATATACACTGAGATCCTGCCTCAGAAAGGAACTCCATGCAGTGGAGGACGTGGTGTCTAAACTGCTGGAGGACGGATTGCTTCATGCCCACCATTGTCTCCAAAGATGAGCCTGAAATCATGAGATCACTGCTCCTTGCACAGGGGAGGATTTCTTTCGGTCCCCTGTGAACTGTGAATTGTCCTCAAAGCCGTACCTGCAGCCCTAACCTCAGTAGCTCAGAATACGGCTGCATTTATCCATGGGACCTTCACAGGGATGACTTAGAGAAGGAGACCTGCAGGGTGGCGGAATCAGTCTGTCTGGTGCATGGGTAGGAAGAGGAAATCGGGTCCCAGCCCACGCACACGGATGGTGACCTGGTGGCCAGGTGGCCCTGAGCCCCACGGAGAGGCCCTAGGAGAACCCTGGCCGTGGCCCCCAGGACACAGACACTGTGGCTTTCACCGCAGAGCCCCTCAGCCCTGCGCTCGGTCCTGGGACACTGGTGCAGGGACATGGAGAACAGCAGCTGCTTATTCCAGCTGAGTGGGAGTGGCCTAGGACTCTTCCGAAGTCCCCCTTGGAGGTGGAGCTGCACATGCACTGTTGCTCCTTTCAATTTGTAAAATAACTCCATGTTAAAATAGTTGACAAACAAAAGAAATCGGTTTGCATTCTGACATGACACCGAGTTGTGAGGTTACAGAGTGCCATAGAGAAATAGGCACTGCTAAGGAGAAACGCTAACATCTAGGAACGCTTTTTTTTTTTTTTTTTTTAATAGTACCAGGGATTGAACCCAAGACCTTTGCACTGTGCTACGCCCTCAAACATGTGTGTATTTTTTGAATTTTTAAATTAGGACAGGGTCTTACTGAGTGACTACACTGTCCACCCTGGGCTCTAATATAGAATCCTCCCACCTCAGCCTCTCAAAGTGCTGGGATTTCTGGGTGTGGTGGCAGACGCCTATAATCCCAGCACTTGAGAGGCTGAGGCAGGAGGATCCTTGCCAGTTGGAGACCTGCTGGGCCTACAAAGTGAGCTCAAGGCCAGCCTCAACTGCACAGCGTGACCCTGTCTCAAAGAAGACAACATCTTGTAAGTGCTGGGGTTCCAGGTACATACCCCCACGCCTCACTCCTACTGACATTCTGTCTTGCTTTCCTTAATCCTGATGTCTTTCTCTGATTTTTACTATTTGCTGCCTTCCCCTTGGGCAAATGGTGCAGGATAAACACGTGTGCTCAAGTTGCCGTAGTGCCAGCGTGGGAGTCTAAGTAGGCAGAGCCCGCCCCTCGGATTCGGCGTCTGCGATGGACCTTCATTTCCTCTGGGCTGTGTTGGCGGCACTTCCTTCGGGTTCTGTTGTCATGAGGCACACTCCTGGGTAAGGCTGAGACCTCAAGAAAGAAGCCGAGCTGGGAAGCAAGAGGACGCCTCGGCCCCTGCTGGCGGGTGCTGCGGGTCGCACTTCCTCTCACGCCTCTTGAGTCTTCTTGCCTCCTGCTCCTCCCAGTTCGTTGATCAAGATGGGGCTACAGGAAGGGGAATCAGGTGGAGGAGGGCGGGCTCGGTGCAGTCGCCCTCATGCCTGGGCTGCACCCCAGTTCTGCTCTGAAGCCTGGCCTTCTGGGCTTGCCCCTCGGTCCACACCGCAGCCTAAGCAGAAGCACCGAGCTGCCACCGGCTCCAGTGGGACTGGGGTGGCCACCGGGCCCTGGACAGAGTGCTCCTGTTGGTAACTCCAAGTGGCTTGGAGAACAACGAAGACCACCTTGACGACTGAGGCCCAGGCGGTGCCCAGTGGACGGAGGCAGCCCGAGGTTTGGGTAGCGAGGCCTTGAGCGGTTTCCGCGTCCTTCGACACCAGCTGAGGAGGAGGGTGGAGGCCCTTTGGTGGGAGAAACTGCCCTGCGTGTAGCCGCAGCTTTAAGGACAAAGGTTGCCATGGCAAGACATTCAGGAAGCTGGAGAGGAGGCTGGAGCCAGAGCAGCCGCACTTCTGTCATTTGATTGTTTCAAACGCCACCCGCACGTGGCAAGAAATTGGTGCCTCTCCTCGCATGCAAGCTTCAAACCCAATTAAGAGCCTGCTCCTGCAGGCCTGGTGCATCCAGCTGCACCAGGAGTACCAGCCACCCGGCCCAGACACTGTCACTGCGCAGACGACAGATTCCCAGGATCGATAAGGCGTCTGGCTCAGTCCGTCCCCAGGCTGGGTGCTTGAGGGCTCTGAGGCCCCCTCATCAGCCCTGTCAGCAGCACCACCGCCAGGGTGGGGGCTGTGGGGAGCCCGGGCTGCGAGGAGGGTGGGCATCGCTCTAAGAAGCCCTAGGGCTGCCTGTGTCTCCCACAGGCCCCCCAGTCTCTACTGAAAAGGTTTAACCCACGCCCGCCTGCACGCTTACAGGCTACAACCACAGGGTCAGGGCGGGCGGGGTCAGCACCACAGTGCGCGTGCTAATCATCAGTAATTATTGGCAGGGCTGGCGTTGGAACCGGCTACATCTCAACATTTCTTTTTTTAATTCTTTATTTTGAGCCTGGGTCTGGCTATGTCGCTAAGATGCCCACATCAGAGTCAGACTCACTGTCCTCCTGCCTCCGCCCCCGCAGGGCTGGCGCTGCAGGCCTGGGCCACGCACCCAGCTAGTCTTGCTTTTAGTTCACTTTTGGTCTTGGTCATGCTGTGTCACCTTTCTGTGCCTCGTTTCCCCGTCTATGGAAAAGACTCAACAATGTAGTCAACCTTCATAAGTAACTCGAGGATGAAAAAGCGACGACGCAAAGTGTAAGAAGTGGGCGAAAACACGGCCAGGGCCACAGGTGTTCGGCACACTTAGCTACAGCTGCGACAGGCCCCTTCGGTCTCAGGGCGCTTGTAGAATCCTTTGCGAACTCGCCAAGGGGAAGACGCATCTTGGGTGTGGAGAAGATCTGAATCTGACTTCATGGCTCCTGTAAGGGCTAATCACCCGCGATGCTCTCCTTTGTCCTGCTTCATCCTATTTTGTTTTGCCGGGTGTGAGCGTCTCACAGGGACACAGTGGAACAGCCAGGGGGCAGCTGCTAAGCTTAGCAGATGCCCTCACCTCCGCGAAAGGGCATGCTCTGAAATGTGGCTGACGGAGCACAGAATTGAATACGGCAAAAATGCGCTCCGTATTACTCGTGCAGATTGTGACGCATCCTAGAAAATCGTGCAGTTGTGATTCCTTGAAGAAGACTTGAACCATGCGAAGTGCTCAGGAGAAAACAAAACGAAGCAACATCCAGAAAGCCCGTCTGACTGCGTTAGTTCAGTCCGCTTTACGTAAAGGTCTCAGTCACAAGCGGGCTCACCGGCCATCCCAACACCCGGCAGGCTGAGGCAGGAGGAGAGCTCACTGGATACCAGCCCGGCCACTTAGTCATTTGTCAATATCCTGCCTCAAAATAAAGGGGCCAGGGACGTAGCTCCTGCTCAGGCCTTCGATCCCTGGCACCGAAAGAAGCCACGGATATGTGTTACCACTATAATAATTTGTCACAGCAACACAGAAAATGAGACTAGATAGGAGTTTAGAGATCCTGGCGTGGAGTCTCAGGACCGGAAAAGGGGAGCATGTGGGTGTGGAGGCCCGGGGCCCCGGGAAAGGCAGCCCCAGGCTGGGCCTCCACGCGCCCGCAAAGAAGTGGACGGCACGGCTGCTGCTGCACTCAAGGAGCAGGGTCCACACCGCCCATCCTCCATGCCAGGATATTTTTAAAAAATGCACGGAGCCCGAGTCACCCCAGTGATATCGGTCGTGCCATCGCCCTGTCCTCTGCGTCCTCAGCAGGTGCAAGCAAGGGACGGCTCGCACCCGCAGCGGCATCTACAGGGAAGCAGCTGGCTCTCAGCCAGGTGGCACTTGGAGTTTTGAGACCGGCCACCACTGTCACCTGGGCTGAGGAAGAAGTGGGAGTCCATGGCACTGGAGAGACAAAGGGCTGAGTCACACAGATATGTGTGGGTCACCCGCTGGGAGGCACAGGGCAGGCTATCGATGTTCTATGCCTTTGTTTCCCCTCCTGCACAATAGGGCCCCAAATCCACAGGGATTTTGGTGAGTCTGGCTTGTGGGGGCCTCGTGGCGGGCACTCGGGCACCCTGCTCGGGTGGTGGCTGCATGGCGTCCTACACTCCTGCCGCATGTCACCACTGTCTGTCGTGTAGGACTAGGGAACCCAGAACAGGATGGGCCCAAGCCCAGCTCTGCCCGCTCCTAGAGCAGCTGCCACAGACCCCACCACGCATAAACTCTTGAGAAAAGGCAAGGGCGCAGTGAGTGGGATGGTGGTGGTCCGGTGCCCACGCAGGTGACCCCGGCGGCCCTCACCTGGATCACACCTCCACCAGCGCTGGCGTCCCCGGCCAGGAAGGTGTCAGGCAGCCGCAGCATCTTCCCCAGCCAGTCGAGCATCACCGTCTCCAGCTCTGTGCACGCCGGGCTGGCCGCCTGTGAGGCACAAGCGGGGACGTGAGCCAAAGCGGTGGAGAGGGGACCCGGGCACCGGGGCCTCTGCCGTTTTACTCCCTCAAGCTAAGGACCCTGTGCTTGCCAGGCAAGTACTTATTCTACTGAGCTAGCTCCCTGGCCCTCCAAAAAAGAAAATCCAAATAGTACAGAGATGGATGATGCGGAATGGGGGAGACCCCAAGAGGAGAGAGAAGGGGGTTTGAGGATGGGCAGAGCAGAGGGGAACTGGAAGCATCAGGATGCCCTGCCACACATGGAGTGCGACGGTCACAAGCATACTGCTATTGGTGAAAAATTTTATAAAGTCGTTAAACAACATTTTTAAAAATGAAAAAATGTCAAAGTCTTCCCCAAATTCACCTCCTGGGAGGGCGGCATCGGGTGCTTGCTGCCATGTATCCATGGCGTGTGTTGAGGGCTGAGCCCTAGTGCGAGGGCATCAAGCATGGGACCTCTTGGGGGGCAGGCCCTGCGGGGCCCATGAGCCCGTTAGGCTGGCGTCCAGCAGTGGTCCGTGCTGGGCGGTGGCACCTCCTCCCTGCCTTAGGCTTGATGGCTTCCCTGCTCCAATGTAGCAGGAAGACCCAGTCTTCCTGGGCCGCAGAACGGCCAGCCAGGTGACCTTGCAGAGTTCTGAAGCCAAGCAGTAGGAGGGCCAGGGCACCAACATGTCACTGAGCAGGTGACACGAGGAACTTCCCCCTGCCCCTCTCCGGGACACCCCAGGTCTGTGCTGGAAGCTCCTGTCTCTGGACACAGGGCTCTGCCTGCCTCCGAGGGGCCCTGCTGTCCACATCGCACCTCTCCACCTGACTGAGGTCACAGGGGTCAGCTGGGGACAGTTCCTACAGCCACTGTCCCCCACATGAACACATCAGGAGTTCCCAACCCCCAGCCCTCGGCAGGTGCTGGTCCCTGGCCTGTGAGGACCGGGACCCCACCCCCATCACTGCATCTCAGCTGAGCACCTCCCCCATTACCTCGTCCTGGCCGAGCCCCCTCCTGTCAGATCAGCAGCAGCAGATTCCCACAGGAGCGCAGCCCCTGCTGTCACCTGCATGCTGGAGGAGCCTGCGTTGCATGCCTTAAGGGAATCCAAGGCCTGACATCTGAGGTGGAGCCGAGGCACAGACACTAGCCCTGTGGCGTGTGACTGGTATGAAAAAAGCACACTAATAAAAGAAGAAACAACCCTTCACCCACCATCCATGGAAAACCTAGCTTCCGCGAGACCAATCCCTGGTGCCAAAATGTGTGGGGACCTCTGCTTCAGGGGCAGCGCCCTGTGTAGGTGCTGCAGAGGTTGGCAATGGCATCAGGGTTCCAGCCGTAAGCCAGCCCAGGTACCAGAGGGCAGCTGGGAAGGCACCCAGCTCCCCCTCAAGCTTGATGGGGTGGGAGTGTATGTGCATCTGCTTGGTTACAGAAGAACCTAGAAAAAAGGCTCATGGGACCAGCCCCAGGGCCGCAGCAAGAGGAGAAAGCACAGGACACAGGGGAGGGGAAGCACAGACACCGCTGGTCCTGGGAGGCGCTGAGCTGCTTGGATCTCCTCTGCTTGGGCGCTGCCCTGTGCGCAGGAGGCGGCAGTGTGGGCAGGAGCCCTCCAGAGGGGCGCTGAGTCTCCCTGCTGGCCCCTCAGACCCACCCATGGGCCCTTTAAGCCCCAAGCCTGGCTCCAGCCAGGGAAGCCTCATCCCCTGTTAAACAGCACAAGGTGGAGCCCCCAGGGATTAGTCAGCACCCCTCTAAGGCCTCAAAGAAACCAGTTCTTGAAAAAAAAAAGTAGATGCCACTGGAAATTGGTACCAGGCCACGCGGCAGGGACGGAACACCTCCCAAGCAACAGAACCTGTGGACCCTGCTGCAACATCTAATGAAAGAAAATGTCTCTTAGAAGAGAGTCTCAGCTCAAGCCAGCCTGCCCTGGCCCTGCCAGCAGGGGCTCTTGAGGGCGGAGAAGTGGCCCTGGAAGCTGCAGCAGGAGCTGGGACCTCCTTCACCTCTCAAGCCTGAGAAGAGCAGGTGTAGGCAGGGAAGGGCACCGGCCAGGCTCTGCCGCTGGGTGCTGGGACCCAAAGCCGACTCCCCTCACAAAGTCACGTCAGCACCTGCTCTGCAGTCACCCAGCGTGACTAGGCGGAGCAAAGCAGGACCCAGCTTCGGGGAGCCCTTGAGGGCAGAGGACTCTCCTGGCCACCACACCACCCCTAGCAGCCACAGGAGGCGCCACCTTGTGCTTCAGCTTTCGACCCCAGACCGAGGGGACTGGCAACCTGTGGACAGGCAGTGGGGTCTCTCAGACAGTCCTGGCAGGGGGCAGTGGGGTCTCTCAGACAGTCCTGGCAGAGGACAGAAAGAGCACCCACTCAGCAAAATGCTGGCTCCCTGTTGTCAGCTGTGATTTTGACTCAAACCAAGTGCTTAGAAAATAGTCCCAGCCAGGCATGGCGACCTGTGATCCCAGTACTCTGGGAGGCTGAGGCAGGAGGATCGCAAGTTCAAGGCCAGCTTGGCAAACTTAGCAATTTAGAAAATTTCAAAATGAAAATAAGCTGCAGGTGGATCTCAATGAAAAGGCCCTGGGGGCTGGGAAGATGGCTCAGTGGAATAAGCACTTCCCTGGCAAGCGCAAAGGCCTGAGTTCAATCCCCGGTTCCGAAAAAAGAAAAAAAAAAATTGACATTGTTCTTGGGGCCGGGGAGATGGCTCAGTAGAATAAGCGCTTCCCTGGCAAGCACAAGGGTCTGAGTTCAAACCCTGGTTCCACAAAAAAAAAAAAAAAAAAAAAAAAAGGCCCTGGGTTCAATCCCCAGTACCACAGAACCAACCAAACCATACCCAGCCTGGCTGACCAGCAACATGCAGGCCTGGCCCTGGGCTTCGGGGTATTTCCAGAATCCTCCTCACTCGCCCTGTTCCCTGCAGCTGCCTATCTCTCTGCTCAGTGGCACCCTCTCGGGGGGTCAAGTCCTTCTCACGTTCCTGAATGTGGCGCTGCTGCTCACAGGTGGCCCAGCCGTCTCATCCCCACCCTTGGGCCACAGACACTCACCCAGGAGAAGCCGATGCAGCCGATAGCCCCACACAGCATGTCCGCCAGCATGGCCGGGTATGAGCTGGCCGTGGGGAAGTAAGCGAAGAAGTAGGGGCTCTGCCAGTGCGTCACCTGCAGGAGGCCGGGCCGTCATTGGGGCAGGTGCTTCTGGCTGCCTGGTGTGGGTTCCTCTGCTCTTAACCCTAGCCCTTAACACTAACTCTAACCGCTAGCGCCTAACTGCTAACACTGGCCCCTAACATCCAAACCCTAACCCCTAACCCTACCTCTAATCATAATCCCTAAACTCTTAAACTATAACCCCGACTCCTGACCCCTAAACTCTAACTCCTAACCCCTAAGCCCCAACCCCTAAACCGTAACCCTAACCCATAAAATCTAAACCGTAACCCCTAAACTCTAACTCCTAACCCCTAAGCCCTAACCCCAAACCTTAACTCTAACCCTAACCCCTAAACCCTACACTTTAATCCCTAACTCCTAACCCTTAAAATCTAAACCCTAACTCCTAACCCCTAAGCTCTAAACTCTAACCCTTAACCCCTAACCCCTAACCCCTAACCTCAAAACCTTAACCCTAGCTCTTAAATCTAAGCCCTAACTTCTAAACTCTAATCTCTATCCCCTAACCCCTAACCCCAAACCCTACCTCTAACTAACTCCTAAACTCTATGCCCTAACTGCTAACTCCTAAACCCTAAGCCCTAATCCTAGCCCCTAAACTGTAAACCCTAATCCTTAACCCTGAAGCCCTAACCCTAGCCCCTACACCCTAGCCTTTCCTCCCGGCAGCACTCAGTGTCTGCACCTCAGCTTGCTGTCGCCCACCTCCCTCGGACTCCTCTCTCAAACTGCAGTGTGTCTGCCAGCCTCGAAGAAGACATGCTCTCCCTGACTGCAGGGCAGCATTCTCATTCGCACCAGCGCGTGGGCCATGGCAAGCCACATCTGTCAGAGCAGCGTGGCTCTTGAGCTCATCGGGTGCTGGGCTCAGCTCCGCTAGCCGTGTATCCAGAGCTTGCTTCTCTTATTAAAAGGGCACTGCAAGATTAGGTCTAGGATTGAAAGCAAGGGCCCTGCTTTCTCAGGTTTCTGCTTCCCAGGCCCCCTCCTGCTCCTCACCCTGCTGTGCACATGGCTCCCTGCAGCCCGGTGCTGCCCTAAAGCCCAGCAGCTCCCACCTTCCCCGTCCCCAGCCATGTTAGGGCTTGCGCTGGCCACGCCGAGGTGGCCTTCAGGGCACCCCATCCCCGGCTCAGGGGCGGCGCCACGTTCATGGACAGGCGGCCCAGTGATCACCTCGGCAGGGGAGTTTCCAGAAGGGGACGCTTTTGTACCCCTAGAAGCTTCCTTGGAGCCTGTGTGGCATGGGCTGGAGCCCTGGATCCCACATTAACTGCCCATGTGGCCTTAGGCAAAGGAGGAATGGCAGGCATTGTTGCTGAGTGTCCAGCAAATGCTCCCTAGCCCCACCCCTACCCGACCCAGGACCTACACTTACCCCAGGCATGATTATCCTCTCAATGTCCCCAATGATGTCCTCGAAGGTCTCTGGCTCCTCAGGCGCACTGCTGGGGATCAGGGGCCGAAGGTAGCCTGGCTCCACATCGGGGTAGACCAGGCGGCTCTCAACGCCCTCTAGGTAGTTGGCCATGTAGTCTACCATCTCCTTTCCCCTCCTGCGGAACTCGGAGGTGTTCATGGTGATGGGGCCTCAGACCAAGGGAAACTGCAGAGCAAAGGAAATCAGAGGCCAGGAATTTCCAGCAGGAAAACAGCTAGGGCCACCTGGGCCCAGACCACAGATGCAGGAGGCCACCCCTTGGCGTGTCTAGATGACAGGCCACGGCTCTGGGTTTGGACACTGCCATAACTTCCTGCCCTGGTGCCACATGCAGGAAATGCACAGAACATTCATGGCGAGTTCCAGCACTGACCACAGGCTCATCTGGGTTCTGCAAGCTCCAAATGCTGCCCTTTACCAGCCCTGGTGAGGCTGGAGGCAGAGAGAAGGAACTTGTGCAAGGACTGGGCTCAAGGCCAGAAAGGCAAGAAGGCTGGCTTCCCCAAACTGCACAGGTTCTGACAATCTGACAGGAAGGGGCAAGCGAGCGCACTCGCTTTGGCCCTGAGGGGCCTGGGGTAGACGAGCTCTTCAGAACCCGCCGAGAGCCATTACCCACTTCTGCTGAGTGCATCATGCTGGGACACATGCACTGGAGAATATGCAACACGCTCCAAGTGATCCCGGTTATAGCTCATTATAACCTCATTTACACTGTGCTTCTGACACCAGTGGGCTGTGCGTGCTGTGACAGTTCTTTGCAGGTCCACACTGGGATGGAAACACCCCAGAAGCAAGAAGAAGTAGGCTTGTCCTGGCTGCAGTGAGTCCCTGTGCCAGCCCAGAGCCTCAGGAGCCACGCACAGCCCTGCCACTGGCTTCTGCTGAGCCTTCTGCTCCTGTTCCCAGCTGGCCCTGCCTGAAGCAAGGCACACATCTTCCATCCTTACTAATAAAGCCATGCCTCCATTTCTGCCTCTGTGCATCCTTCTCCATTCTCTTAACGGGGACACCAAGAGACTAGAACCATTATCCCCCCAACAGCCACTGCGACTCACAAGGGGACAACCTGGCTGTCATGCATTCCTGGGTCTCTCCATGTTCCCCGGGGCCCATGTGGGGAATGGCGAGAATGTTTTGTGATATTAAGAGAATTTTAAGAAAGGTGTTCACCTGATTCTTGCTGAAAATGTCAGGACAGATTTTACTCAAGACTGGCAGAACAGGAGGGCAAAGAGACTGGACTCGTCTTGGGGTGTGGCAGGAACAGATAAGGAAATACAGAGGAACAGGGCCCATGGGATCCGCATTCCATCGCGAGAGGGGGTTTAAGGGAGTGGCTCACACGGTCAGCGGCTGGAAGGGTCACCCAGCCCAGCTGCAGGACGGACAGCCGCTGGGTCGGCAGCTCTGAAGGCCAAGGAGATGGAAGCCGCCGGACACCAAACACTAAGAACGCAGCCCTAATCCAGGGCCAGAGTCTGGGCGCTTGCTGGACAGCTGCTGGCGTGAAAGCTGGAACCTGAGGTCCCCGGCAATGGTGAGAGAGGCAGGGGCAGTAGCAGCCACAACACCACCCCACTCCTGTGGAACGGGCCTTGCACCTTCCAGGCCGCAGGCCCATTGGATGGTGCTGCCCATATTCGGAGCAGTTCTCCCCATCCGTTGGCTGATCCACATGCCAGTCTTGTCTGGGACGCCCACAGACACACGCAGGAGGGTGCTCCACTAATTTCCTGGGCTCTCTCACTCCAATCAAGTTGAGATCCAAGATTAACCCTCACAGCGGGAAGTAAGAGGGCCGGCTTGGCATCCAGGGTGGGCGGGGGCAGAGCTGGGTCGGACACCAAGGCCCGGAGCCAAGCTGGCTCCTCAGAGCTCTGTTTGCGCGGGTTCAGCAGCCAGACCGGCCCGCGCCCTGTCTCACCACCCTTCTGCAGGGTTCGAAGCCGCATGACGGATGCGAGGACGATTGTGGGTTACTTCAGGACCTACTAGGACCAAGCAGGAGGGACACTTCCTAAGGCGCTCAGGCCCCACCTGGCAGGTATCCCTGCCGTGGACCAGCCGACCCTTTCCTCTGTCCTGTGGTAGGGGCAAGGGCTGGTGGATCCCAGCGGCAACAGCCCAGGATGCGGGCAGGAGGGCTCGGAGTCAGACCCCAGTGCAAACGTTTCCTCAATGTGCAGCCTGTGCAAATCCTACAAACCACGGCTAAGGAGGCAAAGCGAAGCACTGCAGCGACTACACCACCTCCAAGCGAGTGAGATGATCACCCGGGAACAATGCGGGAAGGACACAAGTGCACACGTCCAGGACCCCTGCGACATCCTTCCTTCCTCATCTGCCTTCTCACTGGTCCAGATTCAGTTATTTGAAGTCAACTCTGGTCTAAAAACACTCAATGGAAATTTCTGGAAATGAACATGTGATGGAGGCTGAACTGAGTGCTGTTCTGCGGGCAGATGGGATCACGCACCCTCCGGGCCCGGAGCATCTGTGCTCCCAGCATGTCCACGCGGTGTGCGCCGCCCGCGCGGGAACTCATTGAATTGGTGTCACCATATTTGGTGCTTATATTCAGGTGACCATTATTCTACTTGATATGGTCATTGTATGGTCTTATTCATACTTAACTGCGGGTAGCCTCTCACTGTGGCTAATTTATAAATTAAGCTTCATCGTAGTTATATTTGGATATGGAAAGACATAGGGTGCAAAAATTATTGTCCTTGGCATCAGGCATTGTTAAGGATCACTTACACTGCACCCAAACTTGCCACCCTCCTGCCTCATCCTCCTGGAGTGCTGGGATCCCAAGCCTGCACCATCATGCCCAGCTAGGGAGTCCACATTTCATTGTAAAGTCAGTATGTTCCTAGTTCTACCCTGTATCTGTGACATATTTCACAGACTTTTCTTCTTTTGTGTTCGTCTTAATTTTGGTTATGACTTTGTTCTTATTTCTGGCAAAATCTTCGCCTTTTCTTTATGACTTGGAGCTCATGTGAGACTATAAAAAGTGCCTTTTGAACCTGGGTGTAGAGGCGCAGGATTGCATCCCAGTGCTCTGAGAGGCTGCAGCGGGAAGGACACAAGTTTGAGCCCAGCCTGTGAATTTAGCAATTTAAGGAAAGCCAATCAAATAAATAAATAAGAAGGCTGGGGATGTAGACAGCCCCTGGTTCCACCCACAGGTAATGGTTGATACAATGTGTCAATTTGAGAGTTTAAGTACTCAACAGTGGCCAGGGTATTCACTTTGTAGACATCCTGAGCCTGGGCAGGAGGAGAATTGGGGGATGGTATGGGTGGTGGCCTGCTTAGGATAGAAAGCAGGAAAAGAGACTTGCCCTCCTCCCTTTTGTTCTTGTCACTTTTGCTGTCCCTGCTGCCATGAAGAGTTGCCCCATGCTGCTCTGCCTTGGCTCCAGCTGGGCATGCACTGAGACCTCCACAGACTGTGAGCTAAGCAAACCCTTCCTTCCTGAACTTTGGGTGTTGGGTGTTTTGTCCCAGCAACGAGAGAAAAGTAACCAAGACACCCCAGTACCACAAAGAAAAAAACAAACGAACAAAACCCCACCACCTTATAAGTAAAGTTCCAGCCAGCTCCACTGCAGCTCTATTTGTGCAGAAGGAAGGGGTGCATGCAGGGCGCAGTGAGGAACTCAGTGGTAGCCCTGGGTGTAGCTGCCTCTCTGAGGACAGGGCCAGGGCTGCGTGCAGAGCAGGTGTCTTAGCAAATGGGCTGGGGAAGCGTGGACCTGCAGCCCCTCACTAGGCATGGAAAGAAACCCTCCCTGGCAGACTCCAGGAGGGCTGCCTACCCTTCTCCACCATTCTCTGCCCTTTGTTTGCAGGCTCATTTCTGGTGCACACTTTCAGGAGCCATCAGGGTGGCTCAGCATTGGCGGCCCTCAGACCAACATTCGCTGGAAGGTGCGGAGTGGGAGGCATGTCGTTCACACCATCGGATCTGTCCCGTGTCTCCCCAGGACTGCTCACCTTCCTGGCTTCCTGCTTCTCTCTGTGTCTGTCTGCCTTTTAAATTGTTTTTATGCTGAGACAAGATCCCTCTAAGCTGCCCAGGCTGGACTCATTTTCGATCCTCCTGCCTCAGCTTCTGAGACAGCTGAGATGACAGGCCTGTACTGCCACCAGGCGCAGCTCTGACGCAGCCTCCAGCCTCCAGACCGTATGTCTCAGCCTCAACGTCAAGGGGACAGCAGCGACCCCGGGGACCTCCCTGCGCTGTCCTCCAGTGCCTTGGAACGACTCGCAGCACCGCGGCGGGCTGGACAGCTACAGAGTGCTGTGCTCGGTACCTGTCCATGGTCCTGCTTGACGTCACACCCCATCCCAGCCTCGCTGGACTGTATTTCTCATCCCAATGAAAAGAAGAAAGTGAACATCTTTTATGCAATTCCAGAAAAAAAGAAGCCTAATTTATGTTTAAGAGGCTGATGTCTCTGGGACAGTAGGGCTGCATCTCCTTTTGTCCACAAACGCACACAGGAATCTCAGTATCAAACTCATCTGGCTGATTCTCCCCTGAATTGCTGGAGTTCTCAGTACATTCATTTTCTGTGTAAATGCACAAACAAGCCCAACAGAAAAATACTTCTAGCAAAAACCACAACATAGTGTCTATCCAGAGGTCTTTCCAGTAATAGGAGGACCTGCCAATCAGACACCTGGCCTCAAAAACTCCTCCAAGACTCTGTCTCTTGAACCCAGAATATAAAATAAATAAATAAATAAATAAATAAAAAACTATGAAACTATTTTATTTTGAGACACTGAGTCACTATGTTGCCCAGGCTGGACTTGAACTTGGGATCTTTCTGCCTCAGCCTGCAGAGTGCTGGGATTATTGAAGTGTACCATCAAACCCATCTTCTTTTTTAACTCCTACAATTGCTGGTTAAACAACACAGCCTGAAGGAGCTTTAAGAAGCACCACTGTTAGTGGCTTTGAACAATCCAAATAACCAGAGTCAGCCTTCAGGGACTCCAGAAAAGTTGACATGGATGGCTGCTCCCCAGTGACAGATCGACCTTTGGCCACCAACCTTTCTGGCTCCCTAGCATGGTTGCCAGGGAGATTGAAGGAGAAGTATGTGGCTGAGTCTGAGACTGGCTTCCTTAACAATTAATGGCCA